CGAGTCCGTTGCAAATAGAATTCGTGAAATTTTCAGTTCGCACTATCTACTCTGTTTTCATAAGCGGGATGGTGTTATTTATGGCAACATTGTCGATTATTCACATGATAAAAACGCTAGACTCCACAACTTTTGAAGTGCAAGGTAAACAAATAAGTGTATATCACACTCTATGTCGCATCTATTCCAAAAATAATATACAGTTTTATTACATAGTGAAGCAAAGATAACGATATACAGAAAGTTCAACTCCTCTAAAGTTAGTTGGAATTCTGAGACACTCTTTTTAAATATACAGATGAAAATTAAAAGACTTAAAAAATTATCTGTCACTTTTACACTTTATCCCAGAGAGTAAATGTGTTTTAAATAAGCTTTGCAAGCTGGAAGTAAATCCAAATGGAGGATCATTTATTTTTATACGATATTGCGCAAAACAAAAATATCCTTAATATCGACATATAATATTATCGACATATAAAGATGTTTTTGTTGTACAATATCAATTAATGTCGGTTAAAAAATTTTCGTAAATACACTCTAAAACATATGTTGTAAAAAATAAAACAACAAACTTTGGCTTTTTACGGCTTTTATGCAGGGCAATTATTATATTTTGCTGTAATTTTAGATAAATATACAGCTTTTAAGCCAGTATAAGTGCATCCCAATGAACTTATGCACAAATATTTATTACAGTTTTATTAGTAACATATAAAAAATTTATATGCTACTTTCTTATCAAATTTGCAAATAAATATTACAAAAACGATTTTATAGAAATATTAAGGCAAACAAAAAAATTAAATAACTTTTAAAACAATAAGAGAATTGTGTTTAAATTTCACACAGTTACTGAACCGTATTACAATCTATAAAATTTTTATATTTTTATATTTTGCTTTGAGCTGTAATACATACATTCTTAATCGCACATTCTCTGAATCATTTTTCGAAACTGTCAGACATATTGTTAAATATACGACTGGATTTTAGAAGGCATAGTAGCTGCTACGTCAGGCGCGATATTTTATGTGAACTGCGTGATGGGCCTGATCATATTTTTCTGGCTGTCGTCACGATGGGTAAATCTTCAACGTGATTGGAGATCCATGGAGCTGTTCATAGACAGGTAGATATCAGCGTGTTTAAAAAAGGCTGCAGGATAGTATCGCTAACCAATCGATGATCGCAGTCCACGTGTTTCACTGCATGCGGGATTACATAGAATCGCATGTACTCTTGACAACTCTCGAGAGATTGCGATCGCACATGTACTTTCACATGATGACAGCAGAGATACAAGAATAATAGCAAGCGTCATATTCAAATCTGTTAGATGCTGTAATGATAAACTTAATTTGCGAATCGGAAGATAATTCCAATATTATTATAATTGCATGCGTTCTCTCTCTCTCTCTCTCTCAAAATATATAAAAAATTAAAAATACATTACGTACTCTCTAAAACTGTTAGAGTAAATTTAGTCATTTTAAAGAGAAATCTCTTTTAAAAATTAAAAATTGAATCATTCTTTTTTAAGACTGGCTTAATTGTCAAATTGTGAGATTTTACTCTAAAGAATTTAGAGTTACTAGAGACTACTTTACTAACTACTTTAGAGAACTATATAATTTGATATGACCAACTTTAAACTCATTAATACTGCCAGATAGGCAAATATGATAAAATAATCGCGTGTTTGTAGCATTCATTATCAAAAGATATCATTGCTTGTAATCTGCCTCAAACGGCATAAATGTTTAAAGACTTCGCCGGAGTTATCATCTTTTTAAATCAATTATTTCTTTTTGGAAACTCCAATATTTCTCTTTAAAGTCAATTAATTTTGCATTGCCTTACAAGTTCTGTTAATATATACATTTATCAGAACCTTTCGCTTTTGTAGTAACAAGATGGAACGACCAAAACTCCGTTGGAAACTCTACTTGATAGCTGCTTCCATTCTGTTTGTGGCTCTTATTGAACATATCTTAAGTATATTAGTACATGTCAAAAAATATGATTGGAGCGGCAAATCGGACAATGCGACGTTTCTCAATTTTTTGGAAATTTATTGTATGTCTTCGCACGCGTTTATATTGGAGATTCGTAAGTGTAACAATCTCTTAACTATAATTAATTTAAAAGTATCGCTTGCAGATAAATTTAATGCTAATTAAAATTTCATAATAATCTAGTTGAATAAATTAATTGATTGCACAAAAAGTATTAAAATGTTTTATTACAATATAAAATAGCTACAATTAGCTTAATAATTATAACTTTTTTATACACATAGATTTGCAATTTTTCCGTTTCTTTAATAATTATTTTCTTTAGCATTATTAACAGCAATCCGGTTTATTTGGCAATACCTATAAAGTAATCAAACTTACAACCTTTTCTCCAAAGACTTGTTTATTTAATCGTTGTATTTCTTTTCTCCTACATTTATTGAAAAACTTTGGTTACTTCAAAACTTTAGAATTTTTATTTTCAGTGAAATATAACTTGGCGCTTGGTATTTTCATTTTTATCGTCAGCAAACTGGCGACTTTTACGTGGAATTTTACTGACATTTTCATCGCAATGGTAATAAAACTTTGCAAATAGTTCAACAATATCTCTTTCTCTGTTCAGAATCAAACGTTTCCAATCTTATTGTAACTAATTCGATCTTGTGGTCGGAGTTTTCAGGTAGCTACCGGTTTGGCTGAAAGATACAAAACATTGAATAAATACGTGATTAGTTCTATATCGAAACATCGACCAATAGACTGGTCTGAATTGCGTGAAGATTATGCTGTTCTTAGTTTCATGGTGAAAAAAGTGGACAACGATATCTCACCTATAATTTTCTTGTCGTTTGTAAACAATCTTTACTTCATCTGTTTACAGCTACTCAAAGGATTATCGTAAGTAGTACGTGATTATTAAAAAAAATAATTACATAAAGTTATTATATTAATTTTTAATTTATTTTAGTTATTTATAGAAATATGAATATAATTTATAGAAATATAAATAAATTCCATAAAGTTAATACACATGTTAATACACACATATTAATATCATCAGTAAATATTAATTTATAAAGTTATTATTATTATATTATGTCTGATTTCGATTCTCTTTATTGGATTTTTACAGAAAATCGAACAATGGCATAATTAGCGATATATACTTCTTCGAGTCCTTCCTATTTCTGATCGGTAGAACGATGATCGTCACCCTGCTCACTGCTAGGATTCACGATCAAAGTAAAGTAATATTGCCGATTTTATTTACTTGTTCAGCATCTACTTATGACAAAGAGGTAAATCATTTGAATTTCATTGACGTAAAAAAAAAGTAAATAAATAGTAATGTTTTGAAATTATCAATGTATTGCGCGTATAAATTATTTAATTAATTTGCTCAATTTTATATATATATATATATATATAATAATTTATACGATCGTTTTACAGACAGAAAGGCTGCTTCATTTACTCAGCACTGATAACATCACGCTCACTGGAATGCGTTTCTTTTCTATTACACGGAATTTTCTGTTGGCGGTAAAAACAAATCAAGATTTAATAAAAAATTCTTTAGCATTTCATATGCAATACGACAGTTTTCTTTAAGAAACAAAATCATTTTACGATAGTGATATCTATATTATTTCACATATACAGAGCATAATAAAGTACTCGATTTAGTTATTGCATTAATACATTTAAAAAAAAGAAAATTTAATAGTTTAATGTTTTTAATATTGTGTTTTTAATGTGTTCTTTTATTTTTCAATATTTTTATTTATGAACATCATTTATTTTTATAAATTTATGTACAGGTGGCTGGTGCAATTGTAACGTATGAAGTTGTGCTGCTACAATTTAATGTCGCAATGAACAAATAAGTATGCAATAGTGTAACATCAACAAAAGGCAAATATTATAATCTAGATTATAAAAAATATAATATAAGTAAAATTAATTAAAATTAAAATCCCATCCCATATGTTTTCATCTCGACGCAATTTTTACTAAATGTTATTTTCACAATTATACTATTTTATAAAAATATGTATTTTGTAAGACAATTATGCAAGAAATATTTATTATAATAGAAATTCGTCACAAGAATTGTTGCTTTAATTATTTCGATATATTTCCTAATATTCACAACACAATGTCGAAACAATTTCTATAATAAATTTACATAAATTTTCATAATTATATAAATGTATTGTATACAATCATTTTTACATTTATATTCAGGTAAATTAAGGATTCAATGTATTTAATTTTAATAAAATCTTTCAAAATCTAATACACTATTCCTACATAAATATAATTTTTGTTGTATAAACTTTACTTTGTACAATTCTTAAATACTACATTTAAATAACATTTTTTAATTCATTCACAGCAACATTTACACAATTATTGCCGCATTATCAACAGATAAAAATATATTTTCTTTTAATCCATTCCTGCGGATGACGTTGCGTTCTCCGCAGCTAAATCTATAAGTGCGGTATACATACATATTTTGTAACAATATTAAATTCAACACTGATGAAATATCCTTTTCACTTTTCTGCAGAATATATATCAAGTTAATGAAATCCAAAGGAAAACTAGAACAAAAGGTATAAACCAAGAAATAAAATCGTATAAAGAGAGATTACGGATAAAGTAAAAGTTATATCATAAAAAAAAAACTTTATGTCATAGCGCAATTCATATACTTACCTTATGTAAAATTGCAGAAAAATTACCATAAGTGAAAATATAGAGGACTCCAGCGGTTTTATTTTACCTATATAAAAGATACAAAATATAATATAAAAGTTAATAATATGAAAGAGAAAGATCTTATTGTATACAAAATCAATTTATGGAAATTGGTTACAAAAGAAGGGAACAATAAAAAAAAATACCATAAAATGCAATAATGTATGTAATGCAGTTCAAATTTATTTAATGATAGCATTTATTATAATAAAATTTTGTGTTTTGTAGTCAATATAGTGATATCGATTTCCTTTTCGAAAATCCTCTCTACCTCACCTCACAAGCAGTTATATTCGTCTGGTCCGCTTGTTGGACGGAGTTAAACTGTACCAGAACGAGTTCATAAGTCACGATAGTTCCTGCAACCTATATTATCATTCAGATGTTGTACAAGGTGTATTAATCATAACTATTATTTAAAATTAATCTAAATCTTGTCTTAATTATAAAGAATAGTATTTGTTCAGTTAAATTATAAATTATAAATAAAATATCATTATAGCAAATAAATATACATATTTTCAAAATATTTTTTTTCAAAAGAAGATGTAATAGAGACAAACTATGAATAATATGCAAATAATTAATCGTATTTTACAGCGCGATAAGTTTGCTTTTAGTCAAATAATTAAGCTACATTTAACTCGTTTAAATTGTCATTACTTACGGTTAATACAAGGCCTCTCGTTATGGAAAAAAACTTCATTCCCGTCAAGCTAATATTATCCGTCGTTACTTGCGTCAAGAATCTTGAGACCTGCGCAACGTTAAACGTTACATACAAACTTACATACAAATTTTTGTACGAATTTATATATAAGTAAAAACACGATCGAAAAAATTAATATAATAATCTTATAAATAAATAACATTCATTATTTTTTTTTCTTACAACTGATATCATATAATCTTTTAGATCCCCACAAGTTTTTTTTATTATGAGAGAAGAAACTTAATTTTCTTTAATGAAAAGTTTTTAATTTATTATTAACGCATAAAGAAGATACATGTTGACAGATATTAAATTTTTACTTAGAACTTTTTCTCTCAAATTATCGCGTGTCTAGTTATGAAGATTAATCGATCTATACTATATATATTAATAACATTTCATATATATAGTATAATAATATTTTTCTCAAAACAAACCTCATTGCTGTAACCAGAACTAGTGACGCTATACAAAATCGGTGCTGGTAGACGGGATTCATCATGAATAGAAGCCGCGTACAGGGATACCGCCATTGTTCTCGCCAAAAGAAAGCCGAAGGAAAAACCAAAATAGATTTTCCGTATGCTACCACGTATTGGACTGTCAAAAAAATTTATTCAACTTTTACGATCTACCGTTTGAAAAATTCATTCAACTTTGTGGGTTCTACACCCTAAAAATTCTTGTGTGGTGTAATTTTTTATATAAAATTTCGTAATACTGTTTTATATTCAGGCAAAGCTAATAAGCACAATAAAAATTAGTAATGTCGTAAATTAATTAGAAATATAAATCTAAATATTATATATTGTATATACATACATATATAAAAGCACAGATGAAATTTTTTATATTGGATCTAAGAAACTCGATGTATAATATGTTTAAAGATAAAATTGTTATTGTAAATTATATGTTAGATAGAAAATGTACTTGAAGGAAAACAGCAATTGCATACAGATGAAGTACAAGTCTATAGCAAAGGACATAAGCACGATGCCCGAGATGTAAGTATCCACTCTGCGCGTAAGAGTCGCCAAATGATTATAGTCATTCCTGGCTTCGGCCCACCACCATTCCGGCATCGCCTTAACGAGATAATAGCGACGAGTTGTTAGTAGAAGCAAAGATTTCCATGTTGTAATCAATTTTTTTCCTCGATCAAAGTAACACATTGAGCTATTCTACTTGAGTGTTCCTGTGTATCATTTTACTCTTGTTGTTTACCGAATGTTACACAAGAAAAATGATACACAGGACTACTCGGATGATTTTTTTCTGAACACGTCCCTTTTCTCTAAAACTTTTAGAGTGAATTGTCACTCCGAAGAGTGAAATCTTTTTTTCTGTTAAAAATTGAAAATTAAGCCACTCTCTTCAAAACTACTGATTCAACTTTCATTCTTTAAAATGAGCTTCTACTCCAAAGAATTTAGACGGTTTATATTATATTAACAATTAAAATATAGTTTGAATAAATCCTCAAAAAAAATTTAATAAGTATTATTCAGTGAGTATTAATTTAATTGTTAACAACATAGTAGATATATTTAATACTCAAAATAAATAATTAATCATTAATCAATTTAAAATACTTAGAGTACTTATTAAACTTCTTTAAGGAAAAAAATATACATATAATATATATATATAT